GAAGGGTTTTTTCAGTATTGAGCTCAGGATTTGAGCTAAACCCAAGCGATAAATGCTTCCAATTGATAGTTGGATCATGCCTTTGAAGCCATGGAAGACCTAGGATAACTGGGTACTTCATTGGTATAACATCTAAAGAGATGGTGTCTGAAAATGTTGATTTTCCTAGGGGAATCTCAAGTTTGAGTACTGGGGTGTTGCAGGTAATGGAACCTGAACTGATAGGAGTTCCATCAATGACTCGGAGCAACTCTGGAGTGCGTTTGGGAATTGTAGGTAACTGGTGTGTCAAGATGAGGTCTTGAGATATAAAGTTGCCTGTTGCCCCTGAGTCTATCATAGCCCTTGTAGACAACACCTGTTGTTTGAAATGGAGTTGAATAGGGATTAACAGGTGTGTGAGACTCTGAGAAAGCACCATCGACACATCTTTGTTGTCTAGGGGAGAAGTTATAGTCTCAGTTGAAGTTGTGCCTGCTAGGGATTTTTCAAGTTTTTCAGGAATAGCAGTTGTGACTGTGTCTGAGGCTGCTATATGTTTTGAATCAGCACTCCCTCGTGCTGAATAGCACTCCTGAATTCTGTGTCCCCCTTTGCCACAGTATAAACAAAGGTTGTTGTCCATTCTGTGTTTTCTTTCTTGAGGGGTAAGTTTACCCCTTTTCAGTTTTTGAGGGTATCCTGTAGGCTGAGGTGCTGGATTTGCTGTAGATCTCTTTATAGAGGCGTCTAAGTCCATAGGTTCAGGTGCTGAGTCCTTAGCAGTTGGTGTAGAGGTGTAATTGTTGAAATTTCTTGTTGGATGCCAGTCTTGGTTCTTCTCCTTTCTTCTTTCAAAAAGCCTATCATCAAGTCTGACAGCTTTCTCTATAAGCGTTTGAAGTGTTGTAGGGCGTTCTTCTTTGCTGAGTTCATCCTTAATAGAGCTCTTGAGCCCTTGGTAGTAAGTGAAGACTAAGGCTTCTTCATTCCAAGTCAAGTGAGAAGTGATTCTCCTAAATTCTGTTGTATACTGAGCAGCAGAGGTCTTTTGACATAGCTTCTGTAGCTCTCTTTCTGCTGTAGCAGTTTCGTTGATGTCTCCAAAGGTCCTGGTAAGTTCCTCTTGAAACTGGTCATAAGAGGTAATCAAAGGTGTAGTGGTATTTTGGTTGTTGCCACTAAGTCTTCTAAGATATGGCTCAAAGAAGTTGAATGCAGATCCACGGAGGTAGCTGGCAGCGAAATAGATCTTCTGAATGTCTGAGGTGAACTGATGAGGCCTGAGGGTGAAGTAGATGTCCAGTTGCATAAGAAATCCCTTCAACTTCCTCCTGTCTCCATGGTATAAATCTGGTGTTTGCACTTTAGGAAGTGCACCTGGGGTACTCGAAATAGCCAGAGGAGCTGTGGGAAGCTCTGTATGATGTGTCTGAGTTGAAGATTGTGTTGCTGAAGTGTTGGCTTGAAAGGTGTTTTCCAAATTCTCAAGTTTGTTTGCTATAGTTTGTATAAAGGCAAACAGTTGTTGCATCTGCTGTTCAGCAGTAGTTGTAGGAGCTTGGTCGTCCTCCATTGTAGTATCGAAGTGCTGCTATAGGAATAGTTGAAGCTTGAAGCAGGCAAGGTGTAATGGTGGGTGCACCAGATATGAGAATCTAGCCACCCAAGGAAGGGATGAATTTACTAAGACAACACACTGTCTTAGGAAACAGAGCCAAAGGGTTGTAGCTTAGACTATTCCACAACGCAGCAATCAGGTGTATGATGTGGTGAAGTGGTTTAGACAAGTTGCAACAAATGTTGAGTCTGAGAACTCAGGGGTAAGTCAGAGGTTAGCACCTCACTGACTTTTCAAAAATAGAGAATAACAAGATCAATGCTTGGAAGCTTGGAAAAGACGTAGAAGTATGTGATAGTCGATTTACTGTATTGCCTGCTTGCCCTTTCTTAAGGAAAGGGCAATCCTATTTATGCCAAAGGAGTGTAGTTCTCTCATTTTCCATGACTTTCCATGACTAACCAGGCTTGGTAAATGTATTAGAAATCAAGTGCGACCCACAACTAGCTTGCTAATCATGTAGTGAACGTAAGAGAATCCCATAGAACCATCTCTTGGGTTCCTAGCCTATAGGAAGTGAAAAGGAGGTCCAAGGTCAGAGTACCTATAGACAAATTATGTCATAACTTAACCAATCTTGTGGGTAACTAAGGAGCGATGACGTGTAATGAATCATAGAGGATTGTAGAAGCTTCTAGAGCTATCGTTCATGTTCCTAGGCCTCTAGTTGGTAGAGATATGCCATGTGGTAGTATTGGCCCACCCCCTTAAGGAGGAGATTTTCTTAATAACTTGTTCAATGAGTGTCCAAATGATATGCCGTGATGTATGTAGCATAAACAGATGTAGTAGAAGAGTTTGCAGCAATCGTTCAGTAGTATTGCTTCTGTTGTTGGTGTGATAAGCCAAGATATGTATGGTGACTTGTAGGTTTGAGGAGGAGATTTCTAAGTTTGCTCTTGAGTTTGATAGCAAACTGAGTGCAACGAATGTCAGTATGACACTGCTCCATGCACCGCGTCAGCCGGTTGTCGGCCCACACAGCCCCGTCCTTCCACCACAGGTACGCGGACATGATTGCGCGTGGGGAGGACTGGCGCAGAAAGGCCTGGCGGAGCGGCATGACATAGACCAGGTAGTCCAGCAGGAGGTCTCCGATGGTGGCCGGCAGGAAGCGGATGTTGTCCTTGAACTTGCCCGTCTGCTGCTGGCCCTTGTGGTAGGTCGTGTGCAGCATAACGAGCGCGTGCTTGAGGTAGACGCTGCGCCTCCGCTGCGTGTTGCGCCAGGTGAGGGAGAACAGCTCGCTCTCGCGCAGCGGCTGGCCCGAGGCCATGTGGATGAGGACGAGGAGCCGCTTGAGGAACTCGTCAGCGACGGCCTCGTACTGGTCGATGGCCTTCTGTCGCCACACGACTCTCGCATCAGCCCCTCCATCCTCATCAGTGGTGTCGAGGAGTGATGCTCGGAGTGACTGCGACTCCTGTATAACGTTGCGCAGTGAGCCCGCGAACGGCTTCAGCAGTGCCACGTTCTCCCGGTGCTCGCCAAAGTACCAGCCGAAGTTGTCGGCATCGAGGTTGTCCTTAAGCGCCCAAGCGTGCATCCGTGGCAGGCCTGTTGCGCCAAACATGAGCTCATCGTGCAGCAGCTGCTGCGCCTGCCTGAACTCTGACAGCAGCAGCTGCTGCACCTCGTCCATGTTCAGGTCGACGTCCCTGTAGGTGAGGATCTGCTCGTCCTCGTCCCAATGTGCCTGGTGCGAGCCCACGCCCTCCTTCGACACTGCGAACAGCAGCAGGCGCCAGCCCAGTATCTCGCCCATGGGCGTCTCCGTGTCTGGCCGCAGGTACTGCTCGCAGATGTTGTTGATGTGCTCGAGCGTGCTGCCGGCGCCCGACCTCTCGAGGTATGCGGCCGTGCTGAAGACGAGCAGCTGCACGGCCCAGATCAGGCCGGACAGGCAGCTGTTGAAGTTGCCCGGCTCCTTCCACGAGTTGGTGCGCGGCTTGACGCTGAGCATCGCGCAGAAGCTGAGGAGAGGCGAGCTGAAGCGGTCGCCGCCGAACTCGTGGCAGACGAGGGCCATGCAGAGGGACCGGAGGGCGTCGTTCAGGGCTGGGCGGTCTCCATCAGCGGTGCACTGCAGGGCTGCCTCCCAAGCCGCTGTCTGCTCGTCCGTCAGCCGGATCCAGTCCTCGGGGCACCTGCCCTGGTCCGCACTCCCGTCTCCCGTTGCAGCAGGCGTAGGTGGCGTGAAGTGGCTGCCGCAGTATGCCACGCGGTAGCAGTACGTCATGAACTACTTCCAGTACCCAAAGTTCGTGCGCAGTGTGGAGGCTCCTTCTTGGGGTCGAAGCCACGTGCCCTGCCTGCCCTGTAGCTGGCTGACGCCGATGATGATGATGCAGGCGCTTCGCGTAAGCGGCTCAGTGCGAGCTGCCTCGGCCATGTCAGCATGCAGTCCGGCCCGTCGAAGCACCAGCCGTGTGCCTCGGCGAGGATCTCGTCCATGACCTCGAGCATCAGCAACAGCTCGGGCTCTCCCTCATCTGCGCTCTTTGGCAGCGTGTAGGAGGCATGCATCTCGTCCTTCTGCAGGCCCCGCACGTGGTTTGCGATGCCCGTCCGCCCCAGCCATGGGACCACGGCCGAGCGGTGGCTGTCGAAGCCGTGCACCCTGTTGGCCTCCGTCTTGATGTCCTCTGCGACCATGTTCGCGTCCTCCTCGGCCAGCTCGAAGAAGTCCTGCTCCTGCGGCTCGAGGGCAATGGCAGCAGTAGCTGCGTCCCCTTCCGCCCTGCCGTCGTCTGTAACCGCGAAGTACCGGACGTGCTGGGTCTCAGCGAAGAAGGTCTGGACAGTGCACCTTCGCCACGACCTGCCCTCGGCCTGCCTGGCCGGCTTCTGCCCGTGCTCCTTGGACACGTGCGCCCTGATAGCTGGCTCCGACCGCGTAAGGCTCAGGCTCTGGCCGTCGACATCGCAGATGGCGCACACGAATGCCGCGTGGCACCGCAGTCCTGGAATGGGTGCGCAGGGCTGATGCGGCAGCTCGACCTCGCCCGGCAGCCGGAGCTCATATGTCGCGAAGAGGTCGAGCTGCGCTCGCAACTGAGAACCCTTCAGTAGGTGTGGTGGCTGCCTGAGGTGCCTCTCCTGGCTAGCGCGCGTGGGCGGGAGGCCGGTCTGGCACTTGGCGCAGAGCAGCACGCCGTGCGCCCGGAGGTAAGGGAACCTGGCAGTAGCTGCCATCACGTACGTCCGATGCTGGGACTTTGGCTGGGTAACAGAATTACTCTACTAAAGAAATACAGAGGTGCGCGCGCGCGCATGGGGACCGGAAAGGGGGGGGGGGGTTTCCCCAATTTGCGAAGGAATATTTGCGAAGGAATGGCCCATGCGCGCCTGCGTGACAGGGATCATTTGCGTGGGGATTCCCAATTTGCGCCAGAGATACGGCCAGTTCTTGAGGTAGTACCTAATGAGCTACAGACTTCATTTAATTTTTATTGAATTCGCTCGATTGAGCTCTACATTTTTCATCATATAAACTAATTGATCTAAGAAGTGGATCAGATGTTACAGTGCACCTTTGAATTTTCGACCTTTGAGACCTTTTTACTAGGCAGGTGGCCACCATCGCAGCCAGTTTTGAATTTTCGACTTTTTTTCAAGTTTTGCTGGGTAGGTCGATTATAGCGTTGGTACCTCATGCGCTCCAGCCATGGTGTGGGCCGCATGGGGCGGTGTTGGTGTGGGTGGTGTTGGTGTGGGTGGTGTTGGTGTGGGCGGTGTGAGCGGTGTTGGCGGTGTTGCATTTTCACATTTTCAGCCCTATGTACCCTTATCCTACTAAAATCCAACCTCTAGAACTTCAACATTAAATAACTTCTGTACCTGAAGAGCGATCGACTTAGGAGTAATTTAATGAGTTTCGCATGCCTTAAGAGCACATATATACCCATATAACTATTGTGTAAAGTCGATATATAGTGTGGTGTAATTGATTAAAGGCATAGATAGCCCTGCTGCATGGAAATCCATGCCGCAGGGGATCACGCTGCAGGGGGAGACCCGCTTTTCGCAAAAATACAGCCAACCGCAATCGCGTAAATCCACGCCGCTGCGGCGGCGTGGATTGGCATAAGTGGTAGGCCTCTGGGCTGGTGTGACCTCCATTGATACGGTAGAGGCAGTCTCTGCCTCCTCCTCTTGTTGGGGTCCTTCCCACTCGTCCTCGATATCTTGGTGTCGCCTTTTTCGACGGTTCTCTTCCTGAATCCGGGCTTGCTTCTTCGCGAAGTCCCGTACTGCCTCAGGGTAGGCATTGTAGTCGTCGCCGTGCATTCTTTGGAAAAGCTCTAGGGCTTCCTCCATCGTGTTGATATAGGCCCTCTCTTCATCCATCCGCTTCCGAAGGTCTGCCAGCTTCGAGGCCATGCTCTCGTCCTGGCCTGCCGTCGAATGGCTAGCTTCTACGGGCGTAGTTCTTGGAGCTGGCTCAGTGGCGTCAGTTGCTGGCGTTGCTCCTCCAGAAGTCGCAAGCGTAATCCTTCTTTCCATACTTGCCATCCTGACCCAGTAGGCTGGATATGTAAAGCGTAAGCCTAAGGGTCTCAAGGGAGTCCAGGGAACCAGGTCAGGAGGCAGGAAGGTATCGTATTCTGTAAGCACAATAGGTCTACGTAGATACAGCGACTATTGACTGGAGGCCTTCTTCTGAGGCCTCCAACCCCTTTTATCTATGCACCTTGTGCCCTATTTTACCGAGCCCTATGGGCCGCTTATGAAAGGGACCTCACGTGGTGGCACGTGATGGCCTTCCTTACACACTATTGGAAACGTAGTATAGAGCGATTTAATATTTACTATTATATTATACTATTCGTGGTTGGGCTGGCCCATTCGCGATCATATTCCTGGTTGGGCCGGAACAAATACATCATATCATATAATACGTATCTATATTGCCACCACCACATCTCCATCGAAATGTTACAAACTGCCTCCTAATACCTCCTCTCCACTGCTGAAAATGTCCCTTGCATTGATTACATGTATATCCTCCCGAAGCGCCATATCTATCTAGACCGGTAATCGCGCCGGTTACCCTGGAATGTAAAAAGATCCCATATTTACACGTCCGCAGCCGGTTGATCTACATCTTGCAGCATCTGGTCCACGCCATCTGGGATACTGGCTTCTTCAGCCTCCTTCGCTGCTTCCTTGGCTGTATCCTTCACATTGTCCTGTACAACGTCTCGCACGCCGTCCTGCACAGTGTGCTTCGCAACATCATCATCCTCCCCAACAACCTCCCCAACCTTCTCATCAACATCCATCTTCCCCTCCGGCTCCACACGAACCTCCTCAACCCTCCTCGGCTGCTCCTTCCACCAACTCCTCATCCCCAACCCCACAATCCCCTGCGCAGGCGTAGGATCCCCACGCACAAAGCTCTCCGCAATCCCATCCTTATTCCTCGCCACCTCATCATGGTGCCCATTGCCCACCTGCAGCAGCGCCGCCCACGCCGACTCCCGCTCCAGGTCGTCCTCGCGCAGCTGACTATCAATGCGCAGCCTGCGCGCGCTCCCTCGAATCTCCTTCGCCGTGTCCACCCCACTGACGAACTTGACGCTCATGATCTGGAAGGAGAGTCCGTCGTGTGTGTTCGCCCAGGCGCGTGATCGGATGCCCCAGCGTGTGGTGCTGGAGTACTTCTCGAGTGCAGGCAGGACGAGAATGGTGACGTGGAGGTCCTTGGGTGGTGGCGGGAGCATCGGGCCTCGGGCGGGGGGCGCTGTAAGCGTTATGTCCCCGTTCTTCGAAGTCACTTTGGTCGCCGTGCCATTGTCCTCGGCAGAATCGTCGATGACAAGATCAAGGACGGAGATGTCCACGTCATCGGACCACTCGCCTCGGATCCACCCGCCATGAATGCACGCAGCGACGACGTCAGTGTCATCGGTGTAGATGTCGGTTCCCCAAACGCTCCTTCTTGCTGTTATTTCCTCGCGGCTTGGCGGTTCGAGATATACGCGTGGAACCCTGACTGTGAGGGTGCAGTTTTCGCTTCCCTCCATCTTGGGCAATGGCTCTGGGTTGCTATTGAATGCACGACGGCGTTGGTGGTTGTGCACCACTGACGGCGGATCTCCGGGTTTCAAGGCTGTCGAGTAAGTGAAATGCCCAAGATGCTTCCTCGGCAAATGCGCCACAGAGTCGAGCACGGCATTGGATTTGACAACCGTCTTGGGCTTTGGCATGATGACTTGGGGCATGATGACTTGGGGGGGGGGTTTCGGGTGCGGGCTACCGTGGTGGTGATGATAGTGGTGGCGGTTAATGTGATGATGATGAGGAATAACTTTCGGTGGAGGCGATGCTGCTCCGTGACCAGATGGGTGGCCGAATGTTGGGGTCAAACTTGGGCCCGTAGGTGACGAAAGTTGGGCGACAGGTTCCGGTCGTTGGTTTTCCGAGCTGTACACCATATTAGCATTATTTAAAAAGGGGAGGGAGAGGGGTTGGTTGACTTACTGTCGATGTGGAGCACCTGCGGAATGTTGCTGTTTCGGTCGCTTCGTGCCACGGCCACTTGGAGTATGTCTTCCGTTGCTACTATCATCGCCATCTTTGCCCTCAGCCGTTTGAAGCTTGCGCCTCCTTCCTCCTCGTGACGAAGACCGAACAATCTTATGGCCGTTTTCAGTTGGCGAGTCTTGCGCAGCAACCACATCCAAATCATCTCGTCTAAGCTGATTGGGCTGTGAAAACGGAGTCTGCGAGCCGCCACTTGCGTTGCTTGTGCCTCCCATGCCACCAACGCCGCTCCCGATCCCCGAAAACATTTTCCCAAACTCGCTCTTGATGCCAGGCTCGCCAGCTGGTCCATTTACCAGCCCCTGCACACCTTGAACAGCTTGGGGGAATGGAGAGTTCCGGCCCTTCCTGTTAATCTCTTGTTGGATGCCAAGGTATACACCACGCTGCATTTGCTGGGATTCCTCGTTTGATCTTGACCGGGGTGATTCATTCGATCGAAACGGTCCAGGTGGTTGTCCAGAATATTGTTGATGGGGTCCTGGAGGTCCTCCGATTCTCTCGCGCTCTTGCACTGGGCTGCCGTATTGTTGCCCCGGCTGTGCCTGTTGGCTTGGTTGATTCTGCGGCTGGGTGTCCCTGTAATCCCTCGATGAATATCGTTGGTCTTGGGGTCCGTATCCAGAAGTGCCGCCGTAAGGTTGCGACGTATTTCTTGGAAATTCATATCCCATTCCACCAGAAGCTTGCTGGGATGCTGGTTCATGAGGTTGTTCCTCTGGCCTTCCTCTTGCCCAGGGACCCTGTTCGGCCTCGGCACGTCCAACGAAGGCACCCTGCTGAGCAGGTCCATACTGGCGGCCATATTGAGGGCCCTCTTGCCTTGCAAATGGTGCCGATTCTCTGCTATGATTCATGCGCTCTCTTTCGCGATCTCGCATCATATCCCTCTCCCTATCCAAGCGCTCCCGTTCACGCGCGAGCTCTCGCTCTCGGTCCTTCTCCCTGTCGCGCTCACGTTCTCGCTCACGATACTCTCGGTCGCGGACATCTCTTTCGCGTTCTCGTTCGCGTTCACGTTCCCTAATGTCCCGCTGCTCTCGTTCCCGTTCCATGTCCCTCATCATTATAGCTTCTTCTATCCGAGCCTGTTCGCGGAAGGCGGGTATATCCTCCCTATTGCCGTAGCCGATACCTCTAGGCGCATACCCAGCCTGCGGCCTCCCGTTTTCCGACCGCACAGATTCTGGAATAGATGCCTCGCTTTGGTTGTATAGTGCTGGCTGGCTGGTTGGTCGAGGGGGAGGCGCATTCGGATTTGGCACGCGGACAGCATACTGCTCGCGTCTTTCTTCGGCCGGACCAGGCTGGTTTGGGATGTTTCGTTGGGGGGGCCCTTGAGGTGTATTATAGCGATTCGATTCCGGACTTGGGATGTTCGAGACCCTCTGGGGGCTGCGGGCAGAAACGGCCCGATGGTCATGGTGCGATTGTGATTCGGGTAGGTGATGGTGTTCGGGCGTCTCTGGGCGTCGGAATCTGCCATAGTCGGAACCTGCTGCCGATTGTCTAGGCGAGGGATGTGTGGGAGGCGCGTATGGTGTACTTGGCCCTGACGGCGCCCCTGACGGCATCATCGCTTGTGGCGCTGGGTATTGAGATGGAGGGGGGCCCGGTTCACGACCGGTGGCTGAAGGGCCACCTAGCATTGATGATATAGACATGCTGCTGCTATTGACACTGTTGGGTCGATGTATAGACGACAATGCCGGCAGATCCCGATTCGTGGGGAAGGCCGCAGGAGGCCCAATAGCTGGTGCTGGCTGTCTCGACGACGGCGGTGGTGGCGGTGGGTATGCTTGTGGATGGGGTCCCTGGGGATGAGGTGCCTGTTGATTCTGTTGTTGTGGGGAGGATGGTGGTGGCATATTCCGAATCAGTGGTGTCCCGTGGCCGATGGATGACGCACTCGCGGTTCGGGAGTGCGTCGAGGTATTCGGGATGGGAGCAGCGTCGCGAGGATAGGTCGGTGGCGCGTGTTGGAAGTATGTGTTCTCCGAGGTCCTTCGCTGATGCTCCGGTCGGAAAGGAGGCGCGTTTCGAGGATCGGCACCCGGCGAGTAAGGCGGTGCCTGGGTCGAGGGGGGTGGCTGCTGAAAGGTGGTACGGGGAGTGTATGGCGACGCAGCATTCCGCGAGAACGGATGCTGAGGAAGTCGAGGGTCCATTGTCGAGTGGTGATGACCGGACTGTTAGGAAGAAAATAGTGTGAAATGGTGAGATGCTGTCTTGTTAGTTAAGGTTTCGGCGGGTCCTCCAGCGGCGGCCCTTGGTCAAGATAAATCGAGTCAAGCTCCAGAAACTAGTCGGACATATTTACACTGTAGTGTTTGGGAAGAGCAAGATCGCTGGAGCAGAAGACGGACGATGCGCAGTGATGGGTGAGAAGAAGAAGGCGACAGCGACAGCGACAGCGACAGCACGACAGCGACGACAGCGACGACGACGACGACAACGACGACGACGACCTGGTCATGAAGTGTGTAGTGTGTCCGGGTTGAGGTTGTCGATCTGAAGAGAGGGAGGGAAGGAAGGGAAGCTTCTGTTTGGTGGTGTTTAGTTTTAGTGGCTACGACAGAGGGTGGGAAGGGTGGACAAGCTACGGGGAAGTACGGCGGGAGTATGGAAGAATACTTTCTGTGTAGTACAGAATTAGCTGGGACGAAAAGTACTTTAGCACGGGTGCAAAGTACCGACTACCTCCGTTGGATTACCCAGGTCGGTCCGTACTGACACGCGCTTTTGCACTTTTTCCATCGCCGCTAACGCCGTTTCTGCGCCAAATCGGCCAAATCCGATCAAACGGCCTAAGTCAGCCAAGGATGGCACGCTAAACTGTGTTTGGCATTCCCCAATCCCTGGGCGATGCCTGCATTAGCGTGTCGGTCGGAAATACGTTATTCCCTGTTTCTCCGCTCTCCAGACAGGTACGTACGTATGACCAACACACGTGACTATGACCAACGCACGTGACTATGACCAACACACGACAACTCCTTGGGGATCGTGACTCTTCAACTCTTCACCTCACCTACCTCAACACTCATATTCTCCTCTGTATAACCTCGTTTTGACAGCTGTGGCATTGTCGGCTATGGGGACAGCCCCTCGTCATCGTGCGAAGTCACCTCTCCACTGGAACGGTTGAAAAGCAACCATCCCCATCCTCTTCCAATGACCCCGTTGTCGCCGTCGTCGTCCCAGATGAGATTTCCCATGCCATGCTCGGCGGGCGCATCCTGGGCAGCCTATCGTGCCCGCTTCAAGGCAGTCTTCAACGGTGCTGACCCAGCGGTGCTGGTCGCCTTCTGGCTATTTGGTATAGCCCCCCCTCCCCAAATCTCCGAGTCAAAATATCCCAGTCACCAACATCCTCCCCAGGACTCATAAACAATGTCATCTATGTCATCATCCTCTCCGCCGCCCTCGACCTCGTCGGCCCCAACATCCCCAAGGGCGTTGTCCTCCTCGCCGATGTCATGCCCTCCTTCCTCACGAAACTCGTTGCTCCATACTTCATCCACAGGGTACCATACAGCGCTCGCATACTCAGTTTTGTGCTGTTATCATCAAGCGGCATGCTTCTTATCGCCCTGACACCACCCACTGCAGACGGTGGATCCGTCACCATCAAGATGATCGGGGTCATAATAGCGAGTCTCAGCAGCGGCGGCGGAGAACTAAGCTTCTTGGGCCTCACTCACTACTATGGGCCCTTCAGTCTGGCCGCCTGGGGTAGTGGGACTGGAGGGGCTGGGCTGGTCGGTGCTGGCCTCTATGTTCTTCTCACAACTACGATAGGGTTTACTGTGCAGAACAGCCTGCTTGCCTCTGCCTTCTTACCCCTCCTCATGGCCATCAGCTTCTTCCTCATTTTGCCCCAAGGACCACTCAAGTTCGCGAGGCCAATGAAGGAATACCGAACTGTCCCGAACGAGGAGGGAGTGGACGATGTAGACTTGCCAACGGAGAGCCTTCTTCGTGATACCACCGGAAGTACTGGCCTCCTTGACAGCAGCCCTGTCACCTCTCCAACATTTCGCCAGAATCTCCGACGAGCGAAATCGCTGTTCTTCCCATACATGCTTCCTCTCCTCCTCGTATACATCGCCGAATATTCCATCAACCAGGGCGTAGCACCCACCCTCCTCTTCCCACTCTCGTCCACTCCATTCACAGACTTCAGGTCCTTCTACCCGTTTTATAATTTCCTCTACCAAATCGGCGTCTTCATCGCCCGGTCCTCAACACCATTCATCCGCATCCGTGCGCTCTATCTCCCGTCCGTGCTCCAGGTCGTCAACCTGATGGTTCTCATCTCGCACGCCATGTATAACTGGATTCCCAGTGTTTATCTCGTCTTCATGATTATGTTCTGGGAAGGGCTACTTGGTGGGGCAGTATACGTCAACACTTTCGCAGATATACTGGAGGAGGTCCCGGAAAAAGACAGAGAGTTTAGTCTTGGGGCTACCAGTGTCAGCGACTCGGGTGGTATCTGTATTGCTGGGTTCATCGGCATGGCCCTGGAAGTGTCTTTGTGCAACTGGCAGGTTAGCAGAGGGCGGACGTTCTGTAAACAGTTATGAATTAGCTACATCGACGTATTATGAAATCTATAGACTTGAATCCCAGTCCTTTTCTCAATTTGGCGCAAATATTGACGGACACTGTTGAAACACATAATTGGAGTTTGACGACTTGATTGAGAAACTACGGGGGGCGAAGCCCCTATATATACAGTTGGTATATAGACCCACACTTGCTGTCACGTGAAGTTGCTGTGCCTGCCATTCATGATGCCTAATATTTCTGGTCCATGTACCACCGCGTCTCCTATTATTGATGCGACGACCCTGAATATATGACCCTCAATGAGTCCCACGCCAACAAGCCAAAACGCCAACAACGCAAATTTTAATGCGGCCCCAGTAATCTCCAGCCCTTGGGCTCCAACCTACCAAAAAATGGCAACGCACGACCTCGCCATCGGCCAGACCGTCGAGCTCGCAGACTGCAGAATCGGCATCATCCGCTACGTCGGCTTCCCGCACTTCGCAGCCGGCGAATGGGTCGGCGTCGAGCTCGAAGACGATACGGGGAAGAACGATGGCAGTGTGCAGGGGGAACGCTATTTCGACTGCGATATGGGGAGGGGGATGTTCGTGAGGCCGCAGGCTGCGCATGTTTTGGAGCAGGCCCCACCTCCGCCGCCGAAGGCTGCTCCGGTGCCGAAGAGGACGAGTAGGCCGTCGAGTGTGGTAGCACCGCCTGCAAGGAGGGTAGGGAGCGTGAGTGACTCGGCGGCTGGGAAACGGATAAGCATGAATGCGTCCAGCCCAAGTCCGGCTGCGAGATTAGGAAGGCCGGGCAGTATACTGAGGGTTTGTTGGCCTTTGTCCTTCTCCTTGATCGTGCCGCTTACAAGAGTATTATAGTCTCCGACGAAATCACCGACAAAACAGCTCACTTCAGGTGCCACATCTGGGGCGTCAACACCGAGAACTACAACGCCATCCATCGGCTCCAAGCCAGCACCAGGATCCGCTAAACCACGACAGAGCTTAGCAGGGCCGGGGAATCGAACATCTATGGGACCGCCGCCTATACCAACCCCGAGGACCTCGAGACAGTCTATATCTGCAGCGCCAGGGTCAAGGCTTGCATCTGGCGCTGGACGAGTAGCTGCTGGTCGGCCACCCTCGCTCGCTGTTCCTAGTGGACACCAGAGCATCTCCCAGAGATTGGGCTCTGCAGGCAGCCAGGTTAGCAGTGGGCAGGGAAGCGACAGTGACAGTGGTAGGCAGGGCAAGGATAATGATTATTTGTCGGGATCTGATGCTCGATCGCATGCGCTCTCGCCGACATCCACGTCATCGAAAGCAATAAGCCCCGTGCTGACACGGACCTCTGCTGCTGGGAAGCAAGCCGCCGCAAGCCCTACCAGCACCGTTCGGAGCAATGCTTCACAAGTCACGTCAGGAAGCACGGCTGGAAACTCAGCAGCTACCAACCGCGAAATTGAGGATCTGAAGACGAAGCTACGATTGATGGAGAAGAAGCGCATGGAGGATCGCGATAAGATAAAAGGGCTCGACAAGATCCAAGCCGAGCGGGATAAATTCGAAGGCATCATTCAGAAATTACAGTCGAAGTACCAGCCGCAGCAGCAAGAACTTACAGACCTACGGAAGGAATTGAAAGAGGCGGCTGCCAAGTTCGAGGATATCGAGAATTCACAGGCTGATCATGATGTCATTCTCGAAATGGCTACTCTCGATAGGGAAATGGCTGAGGAGACTGCTGAGGTGCTGAAGCATGAGCTGGAGGCTTTGAAGATGAAGGCCGAGGAGCTAGAGCTTGAAGTTGAGGTTCTGAAGGAGGAAAATGCGGAGTTGGGAGGGGAGATGAGTGCGGAAGAGAAGGCTAGTCAAGGATGGATTGCTATGGAGAGGAATAACGAGCGATTGAGGGAAGCTCTGCTCAGACTGAGGGATATCACTCAGGAGCAGGAGGCTGAGCTGAAAGACCAAATTAAGCTGCTAGAGGAGGATGTACGAGACCTTTCGGGCGTTAAGGAACATTACGAATCGGCCAAGGCGAAATTGGCACAGTCGGAAGCTGCGGTTGAGGACTTGAGGCAACAGCTCGACAACGCGCTCGGGGCAGAAGATATGATTGAAGATCTCACGGAGCGGAATATGAGCATGAGCGAACAGATTGAGGAGATGAAGGTCACCATTGAAGATCTAGAGAGTCTGAAGGAGCTGAATGACGAGTTGGAGGTCAACCATGTGGAGACCGAAAAGGAGCTTCAGGAAGATCTTGATTTCAAGGACACGGTTATCAACGAGCAAGCGAGGAGGGCTGCAGAGCAGCAAGACGCGCTTGGGGATATGGAATACATCCTCTCCAGGTTCCGAGAGCTTGTCACGAGCCTTCAGAGCGACTTGGACGATATGAAGGCTTCTCACGCCCTTACTGAGACTGAATCAGAGCAGCTGAACAGCCGCTCAAGGGCGATGATGGATCTCAACTTGAAGCTACAGGATTCAGCTTCAAAGACTCAAATGAAGACCATTGATCTTGAACTTCGACGCCTCGATGCGCAAGAAGCATCCGACCACCTCGCAATTGTTCAACTCTTCCTTCCAGATGGATACCAGACAGAGAAGGACTCCGTCTTGGCTCTACTTCGCTTCAAGCGTGTCGGTTACAAGGCGAACGTCCTCCATGGATTCGTCAAGGAGAGGATCGGCAACCATCACCGCGGCCATGAAGACGATATCTTCGCTGCCTGTGACGTCCTTGATAAGCTTGTCTGGGTTACGGCTATGTGCGAGCGCTTTGTTAATGCGATCAGCCACTGCTCGACTGAGCAATTCGCAAAGTACGAGGGAGCTCTGTACGAGTTGGAGCCTGTTGAGCGTGCACTGAACGCCTGGATCTATGGCCTAAGACGTGATGAGCTCAAGGAGAGGCAGTGCGCCAGCGACCTACAGCGTACTATTGCGTTGATGTCTCATCTGGCTGAAATCCACATCTCGGATGGACTTGAAAGCTACGCTCACGACGTTCATATGCGCTCACTTGTCATCCAGAGCCATCTCGACAACACAGCTACTGCCCTGTCGAGCGCTAGAGCCCTGGTGCAATCCCACATCACCGCAACTGGCGAGGAAGATGAACTCGCACAACACTTTACGCGCAAGACCGATGCGATTATTAATAGCACGCGAAGCGCCAAGGTCATTGTCAGCAAAGCCGTGCGATCGCTTGAGGACCTCAAATCACGCTCCCTCTCCCTCACACCAGACACCATCCAGAACTTCGAGCAATGCGAGACCGCAACAGAGGAGCTTGCACTCTTCTCTCGCCATATCGGCATGGACCTCTTCACGCTACTTTCCGAAGAAGGCCGCGCTGAGCCATTCACCTACACCGAGGTACAAAGCTCCATCCACCGCACCACCACAGCTATTTTCCAATCCACCGAAAGCGATATCTTCTCCACATACGCCAACAAAATCCGCGCCGCAACAACTCACATCACCGACCTCGCAGCCCTCGCCAGCGACCTCGAGATGACGCAGGAATTCGAGAGCGCCCCCGCGCCATGGATAGTCCGCAGCAAGGAGCTCAGCTCCAGCGGCACCATCCCCGTCGACGCGGAAGAAGAGCTCCGCCGCCTCCGCGAAGACAACCACGAGCGCGCGCGCACGGTCGCCCTGCGCGATCAGACACTCGAGGAATCAAGTGTTAGGATCGAGCTCCTCGAGTCGCGCATGCGTGACGCCACAAAGAAGAACGATCGCATCACCCAACTCGAGACCAAGATCGAAGAGGCCAAGAAGCGCGAGGCCGAGCTAGCTAAGAGCCTCGAGGCTCAATCCAAGGAGCTCGTGGCCATGGAGCAGGATCGCGAGAGGTGGCGCAAGGTGGCGGGTGAGAACAAGATTGTAGAGGAGGCGGACCCGGCGACCAAGGCGGGCAAGGAGCGCGCGGTCGCGACGGCGAAGGAGATGGATGCGCTGAAGGGCGAGATCGAGGCGCTCCAAGCCGCCGTGCGCTACCTGCGCGAGGACGCGAGGAGGGTCAAGCTATCGACTGTGCAGCCCGGGAACCTGGACTGGCTGAACGAGCCGCTCGTCAATCCCAAGAGCGCAGAGGCGCACAGGAAGGAGCTCGTCCAGGCCGAGGGCGCGGATGTGCTGTTCGAACTCGTCAACCTAGCGGCGGAGAGTAAGGTCTTTGACCTCTCCACGCTCCCCGAGAACAGGCTCGCGTGGAGGTCCGCGAAGAGCACGCCGCAGTGGCACGTCGCTAAGCAGCGCGAGGAGTGGGAGGCATGGAAGGGCTGGAACGAGAGCACCTCTAAGAAAGCTAAGGCGCTGGAGCCGAGGAGGATTGTGCGGAGTAAGAGGGGCCTTCAGATCGTGAGGGTTGATTTGAGGCTGCCGACGCTGGAGGCCAAGGGGGTTTACGGGGGGGAGGTGGAGATTGTGGATCCGGGGCTGTTTGAGGGGTTCAAGGGAAGTTGGGGATTGTGTGATGGGGAGGGGAGCTAGGATGTGCGAGTTTAGCGTTTATACCCACTGGCATGGTTGTAGCATGTACAGTCAACCCCCGTTAAGTCGATACAATTGGTGACACGTGTAAATATCGTAAAAGTGAAAATATCGTTATATTGAAATGCCAAGTATTATGTAATCCACCTATCTAATGTCTCCTAAACCAAGGAATTAAGCTGAATTGCCTCAATTTCGCCCCCTAAATGCTTCTAATGCCCGGAGGTGATTGGCTTGGAGAGCATCGTGACACAAAGCCACCGCGGCTATCAATTCGTCGCTAAAAGTCGTAGAGAATTTGTTCAAGTTGAGGCCATTGGCCAGTTCGATTTCGTTGTCTAGTTGTTGTCGAGTTGTCAAGACGTTTAAAGCGGTTACTAAGGCTATCTGATATTGTCGATTGACTGAGCCTATGATTGAATTCGTGAAGAAACCAGTGATGCAGGCTTTCTAGGAGGGTTTCGGGTGCTGTTTGTGTGCCTAATGTCGAAGGGCACGGCGCTGTTCGAGTGTAATCGTGTATTTTCGAGGCATAATAGAGTTGGATAAGTCGATAATTAAAGGTCAGAAGGTCAATATCGCGAATATCGAGCATTGAGTGCGAAAATCAATTGGTGCTGAAAAAATATCGACTTAGCGGTGTTATCGACTAATCCGACATCGTCTTGGCGAGAGTGGACTGTAGCATGAATGGAAGACTTTATTTTTACGTGTGTGCTGTTGGTTTAGGAGACCCTGGAACCTACATTTGCCTTCTCTGTTTGAATGGAAGCCTACATGCTCAACAGCATTCGGCTTCTCTGTTTGAAAGGAAAGCCTGCGTGCCTGCCAACACATCAGCCCCACCGGCACCATGTATTTAAACCAGCTTATAATCACCAACTGAGCTTCTCTCAGTACGGGTAATATATTTACTACCTCAGGAAACTACTTGTGCGACGTGCAGATGTTGTTGTTTTTTCTCCGTCTCAGTATATTTCTGAGGGTATCGGTATCCTGTTGGCAACCCAGTCTTACCCGATGAAGCTTAGATGAGGCTGACTAAGGCAGGTCTGCCACTGGCTGCTACAACCCGTTACGCTAATTTTTCGGAGGCTTCGGCAATGGGTCTCACCGCCTAGGAAAAACCGTTAACTGAGTGGCAGAATGATCGAAAAGGGCTATTCGTGATGTCATGAGTGATGCTCAGTAAGGATCACTTAGCCGCGCGCAGAGTTTTACCTCGTTTTCACCTCATTATCGGCGGTTTTGTTATGAGTACGGGATGGGATATTATGGAAATGGCCATGCTGGATTGGATTCATGAGAGGCTTCTCTGCATTGGAACAATAATACGGGGGAAGCGGAGAGACAGTGATAAAATTGTGGAGAGACGTAAGTGGAAATATTAGGCCCATTTTGATACGATCGTGATCCTGGCGACGAACATAGCCTCATCGCGGGGTTTCAGTGCCAAGATGACCGGTTCGTCGTTCGTCAGCTCACACCTCGGGGAATTATTGGGGAATTGTTGGGGATAGTTGACTTCCCCGCAGCGAGAGGGTATTAGGATCGCATTAGAAGAGTTAGAACCCCTATAGAAGGAACAACTTTGCGGGGGAACATGTTCCAAGTACGTAAAAGACGTAACATACGTATCATTACAGCGGGCGCCTGGACAGAAAGAGCAGGTCGGGGTTGAAACAGGACGAGTTGCGACGAATTATCATTAGAGAGTGGGACTGAGAAACGTAATAGACATAATCAAAACGCACCACGGATGCCCCGGAGTGAGGCAATTCCTTCCATGCTATCAACTAAACAGGTAAGTGCTCACTGGTAAGTCGCCGGTAGCGCCTAACGCATGCTCTAATGTTGCTCTAATGCGATTTTAGTTGTGTTTCTAATCTGACTTTACGGCCGTTTACGGCGTTATACTACGGTAAGGGGGCTTCGCTGTGGTGGCGATGTGGGTCGGCGACATATTCCATCTCCACAACCTCCAGCGAGTCAAGATTGTCTAGAAGGTTTAGGGCCCACAACGCTCAACTAGAACGATTAAAAGAGATCGGTTTCGCACACGTATTCATGCGTATTGTATTCATATTTACTCTACCATCTTCCCTCCCGACAATCCGTCGAGAAGCGGTTGCAAAATCAGGCATCGCCACCACTTTCTTCTCCAACAATCATAACTCATAACTCACAATGATGGACTCTGCACAAATCATGGAGAAAGGCAAGGCCGAATTGCCGACGCCCAGTCCCCCCGGCGGAGAGGTCTTCGACAAGGACAAGAGCCTGTATGGCAATGCCAGCGAGAGCGAGAGGGAGAGAGATGTCTATGAGGAGGGTATGCAGAAATACAACCGTCTGGGCTGGAAGCGCCTGACGGTCGTGCTCATCGTCGAGGCCATCGCGCTGGGAAGTCTGTCCATCCCAGCCGCCTTTGCCTCGCTGGGAATGTTCGCCGGTGTCATCTGCTCTGTAGGCATTGGATTGATCGCCATCTATACCGCCTACATCGTCGGCCAGGTCAAGGTCAACTTTCCCCAGGTCGCTAATTACCCTGATGCCGGAAGGCTGATGGGTGGTCGCTGGGGCTACGAGGCTATCAACGTCATGCTCATCCTGCAACTGCTCTTCCTGGTTGGCTCCCACTGCCTGACGGGCACCATTGCCTTCCAGAACATCACGGGAAGCGGCATCTGCTCCATCATCTTCGCTGTTGTCTCCGCCATCATCCTCATGATCATCGCCATCCCGCCGAGTTTCACCGAGGTTGCTATCCTCGGCTACGTCGACTTCGCCTCCATCATCCTCGCCATCGGCATCACCATCGTTGCCACTGGTATCAGAAGCACCAACGAGCCAGGTGGACTGGCCGCTGTCAACTGGTCTGCCTGGCCAAAGGAGGGCCTCACTTTCACAGAGGGCTTCATCGCTATCACCAACATCTGCTTCGCCTACAGCTTTGCCATGTGCCAGTTCTCCTTCATGGACGAGATGCACACCCCAACTGATTTCATGAAGTCTATCTACACACTCGGCGTTACAGAGATCGTCATCTACACCGTGACCGGCGCGCTGATTTACGCCTTTGTCGGCCAGGAAGTCAAGAGCCCCGCGCTGCTCTCCGCTGGACCTTTACTCAGCCGCGTGGCGTTTGGTATCGCCCTGCCGGTCATCTTCATCAGTGGCTCCATCAACACCACCGTCCTGGGCCGTCTGGTGCACACCCGCCTCTTCAAGAACTCCAACATCCGCTTCGTCAACACCAGGATGGGCTGGATCACCTGGATCATCTACATCATCCTCGCCACCATCGCCGCCTTCATCATCGCCGAGGTCATCCCCTTCTTCTCGGACCTCCTCTCCATCTCCTCATCACTCTTCATCTCCGGCTTCACCTTCTACCTGCCGGCGCTCATGTGGTTCATGCTTCTTCGCGAGGGCAAGTGGAACACCCCGAAGAACCTTGCGTTGGGAGCCCTCAACCTCGGCGTTTTCATCATTGGTATCGTGATCCTGGTGGCCGGTATCTATTCTAGTGTCAACGACATTGTAAGTTGGATCCCTCTAGCAATCTATCTCCCAATGAAAAAATTACTAACAAAGCCCGATAGATCATCAGCTACGGCAACGGCAAGGTCAAAGGTCCATTCTCCTGTGGTTCACCAGAGTAGGAGGCGTGTAGCTATCCACCATATCCCCGACTGCAGGTGGCAGTCTTATTCTTTTTGCGAATCATCATACTATCAGCCATATATACCAATACTACTTTCTCTGTATTTCACTTTTTGACCATATACGGCCGCACTCTACATGTACATTACTGGGGGGCTTTATGTTATGTTAACATAGACGTAAGACGCGACAGCGCGCAACTAGAGACATAAGAGGAGAGGGGAGGAGAGAAATAGAGGAGAGACATAGGAGAAAAGGCATAGAGGAGAGAATAAAGTACCTACCATTAGATTTCAATCCTGCTGCCTGACTCAAAGTACTAAAATCATTCCAAGCTACCACCTCTTAAGCACCTGGGCCTGTGCTGCGTTTCGGCGGGTGAAATCCGATCCGTGCAGGCTAAGACGTAAGCTGAATTGGATCTGGACTCGATCCGAACCAATATGGCACGTTGCTGAGGAGGTTATGGAGCTGTAGCTATTTGAGTCGATTAACGCAGGCAGCCAACATGGACATCTGTTTCTGGATTCTTGTCAGGGAAGGTTGTTCCAACTTGCGTCTCCACCATCAAGCTGCACATCACGATACGTCAAGCCACACACTATCAAAATGAACATTACCAGCTCGACCGTTCTCCAGCAGTGGGCTCAAACCAACCGCACACCCACCTTTCCAGGTTTCACCTCCCTACCCCGCATTAGCATCCCTCTACCCTGCCCACCCAAAGCTCAAGACCAACCTTGGGGAGATCGTTTCCCTCGCTCTTCTGCTTCGTCTAGCAGATGTGGGTATTTCTTGTATACCTGTTCGCTTTTGATAGGCAAGTCTCCTTCAGACTGGCTTCGCCTGAGGGCGTGAACTTGCTCTGCGTCTCTGAAGTGTATCCTGGGCGAGGATCGGGGAAACAACTGATTCTGGTGTTTCTTTTTCCAGTGGAGCTTGCAGTCATCTTCGCTGCAATACTCCCAGTAGACATACGCGTGCCAGGGATGATCAGTCTCTGTTGCGTCTGTCGTTGATAGTTCCTGCTGTCCTCTCACCCATGCACTATCTTCCCTCGGAGGCGTGGAGAACGTGTCTAGTTGCTCCATGGCTCTCCTTTCGATGCGTGGAGTGGGTCTCGCATTTTCCCGTCGGAGCATATCTCTGGCTTTCTCGTCGTACTTCTTCAGGGCTCTCCTGCGGTCCTGGTAGTAAAGTTCGACGCTTTTCATATATTTCAGTTTAGCCATATGCTCGACATCCTTCTCCAGTTCTTCCGCTTCTTGGGCTTCCAACTTAGCTACGTCTTGGGACGTGCCAAGCAGCCTGCGGGTATTCGTTAGTTGGTCGTAGTATCTCCAGAGGTCATCCTTTAAGACGTGCTGTCAAGGCAACCCCGTCGCCACGTTCTCCCCATACTATAGGATAGGCAACGTCAGTGCAGATCCGTGCTTTTGGCACTGCAATACTACTAGCAATGCCCATGAGGGAGACCATGAGTTGTATGGCAAAGAGTCATGGACGCGGTGTGGGCATTCTGATTCTGAGCGGTTCTCGTCGAGCAGCAGGGGTATCGGTGAGTTAGGTGTTGGTTATCGCGTTGATGAGAGTGCCGCCGAGAGTATAAATGTGAGAACAGATATCACGAGCTCTGTATGGTGCTTAAAATATGCATGGAGTGTAAACTTGGGTATAATTTAACTGTATAGATAATCAAGACGTAAACTTTATAGGTGGTGGCTTACAAGGCGCAAGGCAGCGTGGTCAGCCTCATCCCAAATGCCGGATTGAAGTTTTTCCACACTTCTGAGGATATTAACAGCTCGAACGACTGGCCTCACAAACAGGTTCTATGTTACGTCTTTGTAGATTGCAAAATGTTTTGTCATATTGGTGATTGGCGTGTCCGCGCTACGCAAAAGACCCTGAGTATGTAAATAAGTTGCATATACTCGATATAATCACTCCCCCCTATCCCAGCCCCCTGAGAAACTGATCACGAGGCTGAGACGGACAGTTCCCAACTGAAGTTTTTACAGTATGGGGATTTCAGGAGTTCCCCTTCTTGCTGTCATTGCGCCTCCTGCTGTCATTACGCCACCCCAAAATCATTGTGCGCAGCTTCCATTCTCCCTCCACAACTTCATCTCCTCACTCTTCCTAAATTCACTTCCTTCCAACACACCCACACTTTTTTGTCTTCTGATCAACTCCAACAACAACTTCAATCATCTTCACAAGTTCACATACGCATCCAAACCTCGACTTTCACAAAACAATGGCACCGAGGCCACCGATCTCGAATCGACCTCTTCCTCAAGTTCGTGGCACGCCCATGAACCCCGGAGCGCTGGCCACACAGCTCAATACTCATGGTGTGTGCATCTTATCCCTCCAACCAGCATATCATCATTCTGTAGACCATGTATCTCAAAGATCAATCTGACCCCTCTCTAGGAACTGCAGTAGCAACCTCCGCCGAAACCCAGACAATGTCAAACCCTGGCCAACACGCCCAAGTCCAGCGGGCGCTGCCCACCAGCAATGGGTCCAGGCCCAACACACCCCCATCGTCCTCGAACACCGCGGCTATCACAGATGTCGCAACACAAATGCGCTCCATCATCGAGAGCCTCGAGCGCCAGCCTCCGACGGCAGAAAATAGAGCCCAAGCGGCGGCCATGGCACGAAATCTTGCGGAGCTGAGGGAGAAGATGGATGCTGCTGCTTCTGCTGCGCAGCCACGTCTCAGTGCTGACGCGCCAGAGTTCAAGCCATCCCCATCTCAAGAACGCGGTAGACAGGGTGCGCCATCTGCTGGCAACGAACGTGATGCAGCCGGAGGAGGTAATCCTTTGAACAAGGGGGGAGTCGTACTGCCGACATTCACGTTCACGAGCGAGTCGCCGGGCCCGCCACAACAGCAGTATACGCAGGAGGAGGTGCGGACGCAGATCGCTGCAATCTTTGGCAGCTCGGCGCAGAACAATGTTTCGCAGCTTCCGGTGGTGAATGGGTCGGTAATGGCATCGTTTCATGGGCATATGGAGCCGATAACCATAAACCCGGTGACTGGTAGGGCTCGGATGCCCCTTTCGCACTTGACGGCTATTTCGAATAATGCTCGGCGTCGTTCCCAAGAGCGAGCTGAGCGAGCGGCGGCGTCGCAGGCTCAGCTAGATCAGATAATCCAGCAAAATCAGGCCCAAGAGCAGCAAATTCAACAAGCCCAGCAGCTTCAAGCACAGCAACTCCAACAAGCACAGCAACTCCAACAAGCACAGCAAGCTCAACAAGTTCAAGCTCAGCAAGCTCAAGCACAGCGACTCCATCAAGCCCAGCAGGCTCAGCAAGCTCAAGCCCAAGCTCAACAAGCTCAACAAGCTCAAGCGGAGCAACTTCAACAAGCTCAAGCTGAGGCTCTACAAGCATATCAAGCCCGGCAAGCTCACCAAGGCCAGCAGCCTCCACAATCCCTCCAGATGCCCCAGCCCCATCATCAACCCCACCACTTCCAAGGCCAGCAACCTAGCAATGGGCAAATCTTCAGTCAAATCCAGCAAAACTTGCAGTTCGCACCACAACAACCTCAGCAGCAGTTCCCATTCGGCATGAACGATATGTCTTACGGCCAATCGAACCACTCCCACATGCATCCACAGCAGCAGATGGGCAATGATTTTGCTTTCAACAACATGCAAGATTTCACCCAGGGGCCTCCTGTGGGTCCATTCATTCCCCAGAATTACGAGATGCCTAGCATGGGCCAATTCTCGACGCAACCAGTCACCCAGCAGCACCAGAACATGCCCTTCAATAACGTGAATCCGTTGGCAGGGCAGGCAGAGACCCAAAATGGAGTCTCATTGACACACACGCCCGATGTTCCGATCCCCACTGGACCCAATAACGATAACGTCACCGCAGACCCGTCTATGATGACAAAGTTCAGAGATACTCCACCTCAGACTCACTCCAAGCCTGCCGTAGACGGATTATCAGACGACATGGCAGGCTACTTCCCCAGCGCATACGAGCTGACTGGGAAGTGGAACACGCTGCCGGCGATCATGCGTACGCCTCCACAAATGCAGCAGCAGCAAAACGGCAGGGACAAGACGCGGAACGGCGATGATCCGGACAACGGAGGGCCGGGAGCGAGCAATGGCGCTACCGGTGGTGTGAATGGTAATGGAAATGGGAATGGCAGCATGTCTCTACCAACTGCGAACAGTCCGAGACATTGCGCCAACGGCAATGCCAATGGTAATGGAAATTGGAATGGCAGCAAGCCTCTGCCAACTGCGAAGCGTACTTCCCACCAGAATGGCAAAACCCATAGCCGTGGACCTAGCCAAGATAACTCAACAACCCACAAGAACGGCAACACCCGCCCCCAAAGCGCATCACACACGTGGCGCTCGCATACGCACACAATCTCAGGAGACTTCACAACCTTGAGGCGTAATGCGGGACACCTTGATTTCCTAGGTTCCCCGGCCTTCCCAGTATCCGCATCCGAATATGCTCGTCTGCGGGCTGATACGCTTGCGGAGAAACAAGCGCGCCTCACTGCGCAGCTGGGCGAGATGATGAAGGCAAAAAAAGAGGGGCAGCGAGTTGGGGAGGCAATGAGGGGAAAGGCGTTATATGGTTATTCGGCGGTGTTGGCGGAGAAGGAGGATGTGTGGAACGTCAATGGTAGCAGTGGAGCCGGCTATCCAAGCGTTGCAGAGATGAAGAGAGAGCATGCGCTGGTGGGTTCTGAAACAGGGTCGTCTCCAGGCCTTTTTTTCCCGAAGCCAAAGGGGATGGTGGCCAGTGTCAAGCAAGGATATATTGGGGTGAGCGAGCCAGATCTGGCCTTGGCAAACACGCCTCGTGAGGACTGGAGTGTAAATAGTGTCGAAAAGGCGAGGGCTTGGGAGAATGAGCTGGCCTGGGATGAGATTGTGGCAAAGGCGAGCAAGGAGGCTGCGCAGAAGGTCAACCAGATCCCAAAGAATGATTCAGAGTGGCTTGTCGGACGAGGGTTGCTTGATCGGTTGGTTTGAGGCGGGCTATCCTGCGATGGTCTTCTCTCTTGTTGATTACGCAGACCATGGCGGATTATGCCATGGGGGCTTCATATTAGGCATCTAGCGAGGCGTTTTTTTCCTGGTGGTGTTCCAGAGCGTCGATATCCCTCTCGAGTATTTGCGTATCTTTTTCGATATTTTTCGGCCGGGAGGCATGTTGTTTGTTATTTTTCTTTCACATAGTAGCGTCTCTGAGCCTTGCTAGGGATGTTTAGATAGTACTTTGCTCACTAATGAGAATGATTTTCCCAAATCCCAAAGCAGCCATTCGAGAGACCAAGTACGTAATACTGTGGTGTGCTGCCAAACGCGAGCATACGAAATCGTCGATGGCGCTCGATGAGATGCGGGCAAGAGGGGAGAAATAACGCCTTATGAAGATGAGGGGAATGAGGGGGATAGCGGGGTTGAAAGTATGGTATATGGTATGGTGTATGGTATGACAGGTACGACGAGATGCAGGTATTCGTTATTGTCACGAAGTCACGAGACACGAAATCTTGGATCCGTTGACCGCCGAAAATCGGGGTGGGGCCGAAATGTGCAAAACGGCGGCGGAGTTTTGCAAATTCGGCGAGGGCGAGGGAAAGCCAAGGGCCAACGGCCAATAGGCCACTTCAGAAGTGCTGTAACACTGTAGCAAAATGTAGCAGCCCCACCTGTATTAGCCGTAATAGGAAGTAGACCCCTGACCAATCCCAGCATCAAAATTGCCTAATTAGGAAGACTGCTGTTACAGAGTAGCACCGAGGTGATACACTAGAGTGTTTTAGCAACTGTTGAACAGGCTGTTCAACACCCCCGTATGTAGTTAGTATAGAAATATGAGAATTTAGTGCCATAATCCCTGTACAAACCTTGCAAGCCTGAGCTCCACTACTTCCTATTTAGGACTTAGGACTGTAGAGGTTTAACAGTTATCTGTTGAAGACTTACAGCGAGCCATAATCCTGTTGTAGTTAGAGTATTTATTAGTAATCACCTTCAGGGGATGTCATGTAGCTGTAGAGTTAGTAATAGAGTCGTATGTATCATTGAATTATATTCATTACAAGTAATAACTATGGCATCGCATACCAAACCTATTGAATTCCGGGCATACCAGCCTTGAACTTTACTTCCCAGTCGTCGGCAGCGCTCTGTCTTCGAAGATGATGATCTGGGTAGTCCTCCTTTACCTGTTCAGCCTACAGTTGAGGCGCAATTCAATACCGAAAGGCCTAGAGGATCACAAGTCTCAAGCCGGCAGCGCATAGAGAGTTGTGACCCTCAAGGCTCTCAAGCAAAGATGACGCCCCTAACGAAGGACGAAGTACTGGTCCTCTTCCGACTTTGCAATCGAAACGCCGAAGCATTTCTGTAATGGTGGGTGCACCAGATATGAGAATCTAGCCACCCAAGGAAGGGATGAATTTACTAAGACAACACACTGTCTTAGGAAACAGAGCCAAAGGGTTGTAGCTTAGACTATTCCACAACGCAGCAATCAGGTGTATGATGTGGTGAAGTGGTTTAGACAAGTTGCAACAAATGTTGAGTCTGAGAACTCAGGGGTAAGTCAGAGGTTAGCACCTCACTGACTTTTCAAAAACAGAGAATAACAAGATCAATGCTTGGAAGCTTGGAAAAGACGTAGAAGTATGTGCTAGTCGATTTACTGTATTGCCTGCTTGCCCTTTCTTAAGGAAAGGGCAATCCTATTTATGCCAAAGGAGTGTAGTTCTCTTATTTTCCATGACTTTCCATGACTAACCAGGCTTGGTAAATGTATTAGAAATCAAGTGCGACCCACAACTAGCTTGCTAATCATGTAGTGAACGTAAGAGAATCCCATAGAACCATCTCTTGGGTTCCTAGCCTATAGGAAGTTGTCATACTGACATTCGTTGCACTCAGTTTGCTATCAAACTCAAGAGCAAACTTAGAAATCTCCTCCTCAAACCTACAAGTCACCATACATATCTTGGCTTATCACACCAACAACAGAAGCAATACTACTCAACGATTGCTGCAAACTCTTCTACTACATCTGTTTATGCTACATACATCACGGCATATCATTTGGACACTCATTAAACAAGTTATTAAGAAAATCTCCTCCTTAAGGGGGTGGGCCAATACTACCACATGGCATATCTCTACCAACTAGAGGCCTAGGAACATGAACGATAGCTCTAGAAGCTTCTACAACCCTCTATGATTCATTATACGTCATCGCTCCTTAGTTACCCACAAGATTGGTTAAGTTATGACATAATTTGTCTATAGGTACTCTGACCTTGGACCTCCTTTTCACTTCCTATAGGCTAGGAACCCAAGAGATGGTTCTATGGGATTCTCTTACGTTCACTACATGATTAGCAAGCTAGTTGTGGGTCGCACTTGATTTCTAATACATTTACCAAGCCTGGTTAGTCATGGAAAGTCATGGAAAATGAGAGAACTACACTCCTTTGGCATAAATAGGATTGCCCTTTCCTTAAGAAAGGGCAAGCAGACAATACAGTAAATCGACTAGCACATACTTCTACGTCTTTTCCAAGCTTCCAAGCATTGATCTTGTTATTCTCTGTTTTTTGAAAAGTCAGTGAGGTGCTAACCTCTGACTTACCCCTGAGTTCTCAGACTCAACATTTGTTGCAACTTGTCTAAACCACTTCACCACATCATACACCTGATTGCTGCGTTGTGGAATAGTCTAAGCTACAACCCTTTGGCTCTGTTTCCTAAGACAGTGTGTTGTCTTAGTAAATTCATCCCTTCCTTGGGTGGCTAGATTCTCATATCTGGTGCACCCACCATTACAGAAGTGAAAAGGAGGTCCAAGGTCAGAGTACCTATAGACAAATTATGTCATAACTTAACCAATCTTGTGGGTAACTAAGGAGCGATGACGTGTAATGAATCATAGAGGGTTGTAGAAGCTTCTAGAGCTATCGTTCATGTTCCTAGGCCTCTAGTTGGTAGAGATATGCCATGTGGTAGTATTGGCCCACCCCCTTAAGGAGGAGATTTTCTTAATAACTTGTTCAATAAGTGTCCAAATGATATGCCGTGATGTATGTAGCATAAACAGATGTAGTAGAAGAGTTTTCAGCAATCGTTGAGTAGTATTGCTTCTGTTGTTGGTGTGATAAGCCCAGATATGTATGGTGACTTGTAGGTTTGAGGAGGAGATTTCTAAGTTTGCTCTTGAGTTTGATAGCAAACTGAGTGCAACGAATGTCAGTATGACAGCCATCTGTTTGAGGGTGATAAGCTGTAGAAAAGCATTGTCCCATATACCTTCCACACCCCCTATTTCTTCCGTAGCTTTTTAGAATAGCTCCATTCGCTCATATGTAAGCTGCGGGTGCCATTCAAGCATGCATGAGAACGTCCAGTGTAAAAAGAGTATTGTATCCGTACATACAGTGCTTACCCATGCTATTGACCAGCTGAAGAGTCTCTCAAGTGTTAACCACTGCCCAGGAAAAGCAAGACGGGCGCAAGTAACGCAAAGCGCAAGCTCAGGGGTTGGAGCAACACCACAAGTCCATACAATATCTCTGTCAAAGAGAACTGGAACACCTCATGGGCTTCGATATCACTCAATTCTTCAAGCTGTCGGCGAGCTTGAAGGCGAGTTTGCCAGTGCTGAGCATGCAATACTGCTCTATTCCTTCGTTTATCCTCTTCATCCTGGACGATTACGGTCATCGCAAGAATGAGAATAACCAAAGCAGCAAGCGCTTCCCGCTCTATACCAGCATTAGAATCCATAGTTATATATATATAAATTAATATAGAAGAAGCGTTACTATATCCTAGCTTCATATACTGTAACATGCATGTATAACGAAAGTGCCAAACAAGCGAAAGTGCCAAAATATCGCGACTACCCCATAAGAATTGCGATAAATTCACCACAACAATATAAATTAATTAAAACTACTCGGAGTCCTCTTCCTCAGACCTGTCTATTACAATCTGACAAGTGCGCGCATTGTGTCCAGTCTCACCACACATGCCACAGCAACGTGCATGGGTTTCTTCCCTTGGCTTCCGACCACTACTTGCCCTTATTTCTTGCTCTACTTGCTGCACAATGTCCCTCTCGTCCTGTAGCTCCTGTGCTACCTGTTGACTAAGTGATCCTCCTTGCTGTAGTCGTGTTTTTTTAGCTCTCCGGCGCTTGCTTAGCACTTCATTTGCCTGTCACAGGTTTTGGTTCTCTGCTTTTAACAATGCTAATTGATGCATTATTTGCGATGCACCCTTTGTAAACTGGTCAACAGCTGCATAGATTGAGGTTGGAGAGCTATTTTGATGATGCGCAATTCAGTTTTTAATGAAAGTAGACTGTGATACAGCTTCAGTTGGGTTATTTGGTGTCTGAGAAACCCATGGTTGAGCGGTGTTTGGGCGAGAGGTTGGAGGTGTTGGCGTCTTAAACCTAAGGTCAAGTGTAGATATTACACTCTCAAGGCTAAATGGAAGAAGCCCAGCACCTCGGAACCCTCCCTGAATATTGCTTTCTGTCATTGCAATGTTAAATGCAGCGTGGAAGGCAGGAAAGAAGTCATCCTTAGTAATGTGAATAATATGAGCCCGCATCATATCTTCAATTTGCTGACCGTAAGCTCTCTTTAATGGGCCAAAACAGCCAACATCAAGTGGTTGGAGTATATGGGAAGAGTGAGCAGGCATACAAAGCGTAATAATGTTGTGTTCTTTGCAGTACTCCTCAAACTTGTCTGAGTGGTGGCTCTCATGACCATCAAGGACTAACAAGCGATAACCACCAACACTCTGGGGCTTTGTGTGCTTCTCAATATGCTGAATCCAATCCATACCTCTCTCATTTGTAGTCCAGCCATTTTCAGTAACAGCGATTACCCAATCTGCTGGAAATCCGCTATTCTCATACCAAGATGCAAGGTGGTTTTTACCTGCCACAATGACAAATGGCGGCACTGCCCAACCTTGAGAACTAACGCCTTGGATTACTGTAACCCATTCCCGATTGCCAGGCTGCACCTTTTTTGCCTTTGCCCGCCCATCTGAGCTCGTTACTACCGTTGCGCTTGAGATGACGCCCATCATAAACCCAGTCTCATCAAAGTTGTAGATATCTGCATTGTTGATGCCATACTTTAGAATTGTGTTCCATACAAGCTCAAACCAGCCACGAATGACTTCTGGATCTTCGCACTTAGCCCTCTGGTAGTCGTATTTTCGCTGGAAGCGTGTCCGGAGCTCTACATGGCGCTTAACAAAGTTTGAAGCCCAACGTGACCCGACGCGTGGCGCGTCGCGTGTTGCAAGTAGTCGATTTGCCATATCTTCAACAATAGACAACTGAGGAGGGAACCCTTTAGCAGCTAAGTCAAGTATATACTGTACAAGAACTGATTCCTCTAGGTTACTTAATTTTCATAAGTTGGCTTGGATATCGTGTCGTGAAGGTACGCCTTTTAAACGGTGACGTAGCTTGCGGTGGTCTACGGAATAGATCCTAGCTGCAACTCGAAGGCGCAAATTTGGGTCGCTTTGCATAGCTTGGATAGCTAGCACTAATTTGCTTTCATCATTTTTATGGCGCATGTTTTGTTGTGGAGGAATTTAACATTTAGTTGGGGGGGTTGGTCACCGCATGATTTTGGCACTTTCGCTTGTTTGGCACTTTCGTTATACATGCACGTTATATTTAAAGGGGTAGCTAATGTTATATCTACTTTCCCATCGATCAAATAGTGGGACATTAAAGGGTACTTCAGGGGTGGGCTACCAGCTAATCTGTATGGTAATAAGAATCTGGGGTAAGTACCTACCCTGGATTTTCACCATGTCGATGGGGATATGGGAATAGTTACAGTATTACAGCAGCTACAGTATTATAACAGTTACTCACGACAAGTAGAAGGCGTAGATATCACAATCCAATGGTTTTTATATTGCCTAATACGGCTACTCTATTCTATACTACTGGTCTATTCCTAATCCGTACCTAGTAGGGTATGGGTCCCATTCTGCATCATTTCGGAGCAGAGCAGCTTCTGAAGTGGCCTAATGGGGGTTAAGAGCGGGGAAGAGCCGCGAAGAGCGGGGAAGAGCGGGGAAGAGTGGCAAAGAGCGGCGAGGAGTGGCGAAGATCGGCGAAGATCGGCGAAGATCGGCGAAGAGCGGCGAAGAGCGGCGAAGAGCGGCGAAGAGCGGCGAGTAGGCGTTCTGTGTCGTTGCTGTCACGAGAGTAGCACGAGACGACAAATCCCCAGCAAAAAACATTCCATAGGCTTCCCTCATTCGGCAATCCTGTGCCTGTGCACTTATACTTATATACTCTCCTATATACTCTCCTGTGCGAGTCAAGGCCGCCCCGCTCACCCGCAATCCACCGACTTGGCCCAACGTGCCGCCCTCCGCCCTCCGCCCTCCGACCTCCAGTTTCTCTCCTTGCCCCCCTGTTTCCGTTGATCCCTAGCAATTCTACTCAGCCTAGTCCTCCGTCATCCCTTCCTCCATACCCCTCATTCCCTCAAATCCCTCAAATCCACCAAAAATATAAAACATTCGGCGTTAAAGGCTGTTGTGCTAGGTCCTTTGTTCACACTCAGAAAAAAGGCTCATACCCCGCCAACCGTTACCCGCGAGCCTCGGGACATCTCCGAACTCTCCCAACCCTTTTTCAAAACAGCCGATTGACGCGGACTCGAGCTTCCTCCATGGTCTTGTAGGAATCTGCGACCCCCCCCATCCCCTTCAACCCCCACAAACCACAACTACAAACCACAAACCACAACGATGGTCCAGAAAGGCCTGAAGAAGACGAATGGGCTTGGCGTCCAGGTCGAGAACACAAAGATATGTGTTGTCATGGTTGGCCTGCCTGCCCGCGGCAAGAGTCTGATTGCCCAAAAGGGTGGGTTATGCAGCTTCCAAATACGTTACATAACAGACTGACCAGTGCTATCACAGTGACACGATACCTCAAATGGCTCTCTATCGAGGCAAAGGTCTTCAATGTTGGCACCTACCGCCGCACCGACACCCCAAAGCCCACCGCCGACTTCTTCGACACCAACAACCCAGCAGGCGAGAAGATGCGCCGTGCAGCGGCCGAGGCTGCCCTTGGAGATATGCTGAAGTGGTTCCGAGGCGGTGAAGGAACCATCGCCATCCTCGACGCCACGAACTCGACACGCGTGCGCCGCCGCTGGATCTACGACGAGTGCACCAAGGAGGGCATCGATACCCTGTTTGTCGAGTCCCGCTGCGACGACGAGACGCTCATCATGGCCAACATCCTCGAGGTCAAGACCACCTCGCCCGACTACAAGGGCACCGATCCCGAGGCCGCGGCGCTCGACTTTAGGAATCGCATCCGCAACTACGAGAAGGTCTATGAGACCGTGGATGCGGATGGCGACGAGAGGGACCTCACATATGTCAAGATTATGAATATTGGTGCCCAGGTCATCATCAACCGGATCCACGACTACCTCCAATCCCGCATTGTATACTACCTGATGAACCTGCACATAAAACCACGCTCCATCTGGCTCTCACGAGTAGGTTTATTGGTCTCCCGTACATTCGAAGCTAACAAGAATAAAGCACGGTGAATCTATGTACAACCTATCTGGCCAGATCGGTGGTGACGCAGAGCTCTCCTCGCGAGGAAAACAGTATGCTCTCAAGCTTCCCGAGCTGGTCCGCCAGTCTGTAGGCGTAAGTTGCAAACCTCCCAGACACTGCCAATCCAAACTAACAACCTGCAGGACGGCCGCCCCCTCACAGTCTGGACGTCCACCCTACGCCGCGCCATCTCCACCGGCGCCCATCTACCCGCAAACTATAACCTACTACAATGGAAAGCACTCGACGAACTCGACGCCGGCGTCTGCGACGGTCTCACGTACGCTGACATCAAAGAGAAGTACCCCGAGGACTTCGCTGCGCGCGATGAAGACAAGTACAACTACCGCTACCGCGGAGGTGAGTCGTACCGCGACGTCGTCATCCGCCTCGAGTCCATCATCATGGAGCTGGAGCGCTCGGAGGATATCCTGATCATCACGCATCAGGCGGTGCTGAGATGCATCTATGCGTACTACAAGGAGAAGTCGCAGTCGGAGTCGCCGTGGATGGCTGTGAGTTCCATTTTGTACCTCCGGATAGAAGACAAATACTGACAGGAGCAGGTCCCCTTACACACGCTCATCAAGCTCACACCCAAGGCGTATGGCACACACGAGGAGCGCACCGCTGCGGGAATCGATGCCGTCAGCACATGGCGTGGCAAGGGCTCCGTTGCGAAGCACGAGGACCCAGTTGGTGAACCAACCTTCTGAGAAAACTACACTAGATCGATACACGGCGCCGTGCACAGCCTCAACATCCGCAGCACCCCCACGAAGACGTGGCTGGGCCGGTTTCGACTCGGATGTTGAGTGCTTGGCGGCCATTTGTGGGCGGAGGAGGGATGTACACGCGGAAGAGCATCTGTGCTATTTACCTGCTGTTAGCGAGGCGTTGGGTCGCATGGGAAGGGGGGGGAGTTAGTCAAAATGGCTCGGGCTCAGGGGCTTGGGATGGCGTCGAGGAGACATGTTTTGTCGTCACAGTGGCTCTAGTCGGCCCCCGGCTGTATCATACGTAGCTAAGCTGGCAAGAGGCAGCTAGGACTGACTATATTTGTAGATGGTAGAGATACATATGTCTGCATTGTTGGGATGGCATAAATATAGGCTGTAGCTATGATTGTCTTGTTTGTGCCATGATGGTGGTGAAGCTTTGTGATCTCGGTTTTTATGAATTTATTTTATTTAACGTGGTTTATCGCACTTTTCCACCCTACCCCTACTCGGTGTTCCACCCACTCGCTTCGCTCGTAGGTGGCGACAGCAAGTTGTGCGTGCGACAGCAAGATGTGCGACACATAAAACGAAGAAAAAGACGCCTTATATAGCAACTAACGTACATGTATAGCGAAAGCGCCAAACAAGCGAAAGCGCCAAAATGATGCGGTGACCAAACCCCCCAACTAAATGTTAAATTCCTCAACAACAAAACATGCCCCATAAAAACGATGAAAGCCAATTAGTGCTAGCTATCCAGGCTATGCAAAGCGACCCAAAGTTACGCCTTCGAGTTGCTGCTAGGATCTATTCTGTGGACCACCGCAAGCTAGGTCGTCGTCTAGAAGGTGTACCTTCACGACGCGATATCCAAGCCAACTCACGGAAATTAACTAACCTAGAGGAGTCCGTCCTTGTTCAGTATATACTCGACCTAGCTGCCAAAGGGTTTCCTCCTCGGCTGTCTGTTGTTGAAGATATGGCAAGTCGACTACTTGCAACACGCGACGCGTCACGCGTTGGGTCGCGTTGGGCTTCAAACTTTGTTAAGCGGCGTGTAGAGCTCCAGACACGCTTTCAGCGCAAATACGACTACCAGAGGGCTAAGTGCGAAGATCCAGAAGTTATTAATGGCTGGTTTGAGCTTGTGCGTAACACAATTGCGAAATATGGTATCGATGAAGCAGATATCTACAACTTTGATGAGACTGGGTTTATGATGGGCGTTATCTCAACTGCTATGGTTGTAACAAGCTCAGACGGGCGGGCAAAAGCAAAGAAGGTACAGCCTGGTAATCGGGAATGGGTTACAGTAATCCAAGGCGTTAGTTCTCAAGGTTGGGCAGTACCACCATTTATCATTGTTGCAGGCAAAAACCACCTTACATCTTGGTATGAGAATAGTGGATTTTCAAGCGATTGGGTGATTTCTGTTACTGAAAATGGCTGGACTACAAACGAGAGAGGCATGGATTGGATTCAGCACTTTGAGAAGCATACAAAGGCCCAGAGTGTTGGTGGTTATCGCTTGTTAGTCCTTGATGGTCATGAGAGCCACCACTCAGATGAGTTTGAGGAGTACTGCAAGGAACACAACATTATTACGCTTTGTATGCCTGCTCACTCTTCTCATCTACTCCAGCCACTTGATGTTGGCTGTTTCGGCCCGTTAAAGCAGGCCTATGGTCGGCAAATTGAAGATATGATGCAGGCTCATATTTCTCATATTACAAAGGATGACTTCTTTCCTGCCTTCCACGCTGCATTTAACACTACAATGACGGAAAGTAACATTCGAGGCGGGTTCCGAGGGGCAGGGCTTCTTCCATTTGACCCTGAGAGAGTGATATCTACACTTGATCTTAAGTTAAGGACACCAACGCCTCCAAGCTCCCGCCCAGGTACTGCTCAACCTTGGGTTTCTCAGACACCAAACAACCCAATTGAAGCTATGTCACAGTCTACATTTATTAAAACTCGGATTTCACGCCATCAAAATAGCTCTCCAACCTCAATCTATGCAGCTGTTGACCAGTTTACAAAGGGTGCATCGCAAATAATGCATCAATTAGCACTGCTAAAGGGAGAGAACCAAAACCTACGACAGGCAAATGAAGTACTAAGCAAGCGCCGGAGAGCTAGGAAAACACGACTACAGCAAGGAGGATCACTTAGTCAACAAGGGGCGCAAGAGCTACAGGATGAGAGGGATGTTGTGCAGCAGGTAGAGCAGGAAATAAGGGCAAGCCGTGGTCGGAAGCCAAGGGAAGAAACCCGTGCCCGTCGCTGTGGCAAGTGTGGTGAGACTGGGCACAATGCGCGCACGTGTCAGATTGTAATAGACACCTCTGAGGAAGAGGACTCCGAGTAGTTTCAATTGATTTCTAATGTTGTGGTAGATTTATCGCAATGTTTGTCGTGAGGGTAGATAATTTTGGCGCTTTCGCTTGTTTGGCGCTTTCGCTATACATGTACGTTATACATGTACGTTATATAACTATATAATTAAAACATAAAATCAATAGAACTACTATCACTATCGCTACTGCCACTATTGCTACTACTATCACTTTGATCCTTACTATACCGTAAAATGATCACTTTTGATTTCAACCCTTCCTTCTTCCGCTCTGCTACCCGCTTCCTCTCAACCTTACGCTCTTCAATTTCGATTTTACGTGCTTGCGCTTGTAGCTGCTTTACTACTTGGTCCGATTCCCTTGCTGCTCTTGCGTCTGCTTTTGCTTGCAACTTTGCTTCCTTCTCTTCCCGCATTTTCCGTGCATCTGATGCATATAACTGCCCTCCTTTCTGTAGTGATTTCCGTGCCCTTGCCTTTGCTGCCTTCTTCTCTACTGCACGTAGAGTCATAATATCTAGCTCGGTCTTATAGAGCTCTGCCCGGTGTAGAACAACTGTAGTTCCACGTGCAAATGATTGAAACCCTTCTCTTGAAGGTGATGAGAAAGCTTCCTCTGCTCTCTTCTGCCAATGTTCAACCGCTTGCACACTTTGCATAGTTGTTTTCGGTGTTGAGATAATATTATATGAAGCAAATGGCTCATAATCAGGTGTTTGATTCTGAGTCTCTTGTATCTTGTCAATTACAAGTGGAGGATTATATGGATATAGTCCTGCATTTCTCCAACCAGATTGAATTGTACGGACAGTTAGAGATTGCCGTTGGATTTGCGGGAGGTCTGAAAGGAACGTACGTAGCTTATACTCATAGTCGTAGCTACGTACTGCTTGATCAAGTGCCTTTTGATGAAAGTGTTTGCACTGCTTAAAAACCGCTACATCAAGAGGTTGTAATAGATGTGTTGTATGAGCAGGAAGGCAGCAAATAACAATGTTATGCTCTTCTGCTAATGTAAGAAAGCGCTCTGTTTTATGAGAGTCATGGCCATCAAGTAATAAGAGGCGAGTATCATCTGGTGCCATATGCTCTGCAGATAGTTGGATAAAATGCATAAGGTATTGGATTGCAATGTCGTCGTTTGAATACCCGCTCTCATTTACAATAATGAGAGCATTTGTGTTACGACGGAACAAGAAGGCTGGCCAACTACAGGACAGGAAGGAGGGAGGTCGCATGAGACTGGCCCTGGTACCTGGAGGGGCAGCGGGGAATAGTAGTTCCGAAAGTATCACGTGACGGACTCGCAGGATGATGAGAAGAATCCTAAGAGTCCAGGACTCCGAGAACTCGAGTGAGTTCCCAGGAGTCCACTAGGCACGACGCCACTATATAAGTAGATAGTTAGTTCTTAGATAGGAGCTTCGTGCTCAACTCAATATAGTATTCTTTACAATACTGTAACGTGTTACTTGGAAAGCCTTTGTGTCTGATCCCCTGCCTCCTCTGATAAGTAAACCTTTACGCAAGAGAACCTCTGTGTCTTCTATCGTTTAGAAGTCAGCGTTACAATTTGGCTCAAGGCCATCATTGTACCATGAATCCATATGAAGTTTGCCAGGGATAATGATAGCTTCTGCAAGTGCAGCATCACTTGCATTTACTGCCTCAATTACAGTAACAGAGAGCCGATTCTCAGGATTATCAACAGTCCACTGCTTTACACCGATTGGTACAATAACAGCCGTAGACTTATAACACCCAATCATATAGCCTGTCTCATCAACATTCCATAAATTATATGGCTTAATGTTATGTTTTGTAATAAGGGTGTTATATGTGAGAAAGAATTCCTCAAACACCTCTTTCTTTTGTGCTTGCTTCCGATGCGTATTTAACGTCTTCGTGTGAATTGTATGAAATTCGGGGTGTGCTTAGAAAGCGTTGTAGCCACCGTTGTGATGGTATCGTACGATTAGGTCATAAGTCTGCAACTGCCCGTAGTATCATAGATCGGTTGGCAGGGACCCCGCGCTCAAGTTGGTCGTATATGAATTGACAGACCGCAGTCTCTTGCGATTGAGATAAGACTCGATTGCTACCTCCGTGGGGTAATTGAGGAGATGTAGTACTCGTAATACGATGTCGGAGTGTCTCACAGTTGACATTGAATTTATTTGCAACCCAAGCAATTGTATATGTACTTGGTTGTTTTAAGAAGAACTGTTGGGCCTCATTAAGGCGAGCAATCATAGTAGGATCGTTATTTTGAGGCATTATAGATACTACGTTATGAAGAATACTATTATTTTCTCTATATATCAAAATAGCGGTGTACGCATATCTTGCTGTCGCACGCACAACCTGCTGTCGCCACCTACGAGTGAAGCGAGTGGGTGGAACACCGAGTACTACTTCAAAATACAATTAAACCACCACAACACATAATATTTATTAAACTACTTAGAATCTGACAAACTAGACATTTACACCTTTAGGACAAGTTGGCGCATAATGACTAGTCTTTCCGCAATTGCTTGTTGCTTTTGAGCCTTGTATGTACGCAACGTCCAGGTCTGTATTGTTGGAATAGAGTTAGGTAGCCAGTTATCGATCTCTCGATTAAGGTAATGGAGTAATGCCCTAAATTCCAATATTGTTGCCATATGGAAAGGGACTCCACAAGTTGTAATCCAACGTACATATAGCTGCTCAACAACAGCAGGGTCTAAGGCTTCAGTTGCAACAGTAGAAAGACAGCGGCATTTATGATTTATCTCTTTAGCTTTGTCGAAAGCTTCAGCGATATTGCTTTGAATTGAAGTAGTTCGAGATCCCTGAGTAGAGGATATATCGATATCGTGTAATTTTAAGTGCCTTGTAATAATCTTTGTTCCGCCAGACTCAAGACTCTTTTAGACAGTATCTACAACACCATATTAGCCTGACCTGGTAGTTCCGAATGATATCGCAGCGGCTAACAGGTGTATGGTCCCAGACTTTCGAAAATCGTCTGCTTGCAGTTGTTGTTACAGAAACAGAGGGAGAGGATAGCGTACGTTTAAGTACAGGCGAAGTCGGGATTTCGAATCGTTCACTGACAAATAGCTCACTGTCATGCTGTGACAGTATATCCGAAGGTTGTGAAGTCATTGTAGTAATATATAGTATATAACAATCTATCAATTGAAGTTATTCGAACCCCTTGTTTCGAATTTTAAGCCTCAATACTAGCTTAGCTGTATACGGCCCGTAATACGGCCCGTATACGGCCAGAATTGAGATTTTGGAATACGCACTGACTCAGTATTACCGTATACGACCCGTATCGCCAATACTATCTAATACACTGGTTTACAGCTTGTACAAAATGGACGATTCGACAGCTCCGTTCCACGACACTTGAATAAAACAAAAGTCTGAAAACTAGAAGATGAATGATGAGGTGGGTAATATTACAAGTAAAGCTGAACTTTCCGTACTCTCCCCTCTCTCTATTCATCTGAAGCCGACTCGTACAATCTCTTGACAGTGGTATATATATATGCCAGGTCAAAATCGATGGCCATTACCCCCTTAACTTCCTCGTTCCAGACAAGATTTGTATCTCGCACGTCGCCGTTACAAATACTGGCAGAATTCAGCTTTCCAACTGTCCTATCAATCTCATTACCTATATCTATGCCATCTGGTATATAGGCTTCGAGGGTCATGCCTGCCCATGGCATCAGCATCATATGCTTAATATATGCCAGGGACTGAAGCGGGTAGGAGATGACAAGGTCGATATTACCAAGGTGAACAGGTATATAGACGACCTGTAGATTCTTGCAATGGGAATAGATACAGGCTTCTCTCACGAGAGCGTCTGCATACACAGCCTGAACTCCCTTCGCAACCAAGGTGTACCCATACTCCGGTATGGTGATCTTGAATAAAACACCCGTGCGGCTGAACATACCATACTTGTCCAGACATTCACAGCCGCAATCGAGATTCTCAGCGATCTGGGACCGGAAGAGAGAGCATAGTTGAATATTAGAGATGGGGTGGTACAATCCACACCCTCGTCGAACATGGAGAGGTGTGTTGGGGCAATTTGGGTCGAGAGTGCCATTGCGGCTGAGCCTGAGCAGACAGGCCTGGGTACAATAGGGTAGAGCACACAGGGAGGTGCAAGTGCTTTGTTGTTGGCTGCTAGCCTGTGACCCGCCATCCTTGGATGCGGAGTGCGGCCCGTTGCCCTTGGGCGGCGACCCTTCTCTGGTCCGCTTAGCAATCTTACACGGTCTCGGGCCGCCTTCTTGCTCGTCGTCATCATTGGGTGGTGGAGGAGGAGGAGGGAGCGAGGGACCTCCAATACCTTGGCTCTGAGAATCGATAATATTCCTGGCAGATGGCCATCGTCGGAGTGTAACGCTGGGTCTTAAACGTATAAGACTCACAGAGGTTTTGTTGCGTTGGTTTACTTAACAGAGGAGGCAGGGGATCAGACACAAAGGCTTTCGTAAAACACATTACTAGTATATAACAAATACTGTATTGAGTTGAGCACGAAGCTCCTATCTAAGAACTAACTATCTACTTATATAGTGGCGTCGTGCCAAATGCCATGAAGGACCATCGTGGTCCATCATGGTCCTGCGTGGTCCATCACGTGATACTTAACCCCTTGGTCCCCTTCTGGACCAATGACTATGATTTCTCGCATGCAGTTCCGTAGCCAATCCCTTCCTTAGCACTAGTGGTGGGGTTAGCCGTAACACGGAGGTCTCTAAGGGCTTTTTGGCCCATTGCAGAGGTTGGGTTTCTGCTTCTAGTGCGAGAAGCACTAATGTCGTTAATTATGTAGCAGGTGTGGATCTTGTAATGACGGCTGTAGGCTGTTGCCCTTCAATGTCCATGGAACTTGGTACAAAATGGAAATACAAAACCCCGGGCGTTCCCTGGATAGCCAAGAAAACCATACAATCTCCTGATGCAACATATCCATATAATAAACCACCTGCAATCATGTAGTGGTACGCCTGACATAAGACTATTGTGACGATCATCTGGTCCTGGGCGAGAGAAGGCGAAGGTACAGACTCCTGGGTGATAGAAGGCGAAGGCTCCAGAACCGTGGATTGGCGTGTGCGTTTCACTTCTAAACGACTGACGCAGTCTGCAAATAACGAGTCTGTAGGACAAGTATCGTCATCGAGTACATTCTTGAACCGCCATGCCTGAGCTGTAAGGACACAGGGCACCCAGCTCACAGTAATAGCATATGAGAGTGCGAGTCGGAGGCTAAACGGATGCTATCCTATAGGTCTACTACGAAGGATACAAAAAAGATGATGGGGGAACCCCGTGAGTCGATTGTCTCAAGTACCCGAAACCCATCCGACTAGGTTCCGACTCGGTTAGCCCACCCAAATGATCACAGTGTAATGGTGGGTGCACCAGATGTGAGAATCTAGCCACCCAAGGAAGGGATGATTTTACTAAGACAACACACTGTCTTAGGAAACAGAGCCAAAGGGTTGTAGCTTAGACTATTCCACAACGCAGCAATCAGGTGTGTGATGTAGTGAAGTGGTTCAGACAAGTTGCAACAAATGTTGAGTCTGGGAACTCAGGGGTAAGTCAGAGGTTAACACCTCACTGACTTTTCAGAAACAAGGAGTAACAAGATGAATGCTTGGAAGCGTGGAAAAGACGTGGAAGTATGTGATAGTCGATTTACTGTATTGTCTGCTTGCCCTTTCTTAAGGAAAGGGCAATCCTATTTATGCCAAAGGAGTGTAGTTCTCTCATTTTCCATGACTTTCCATGACTAACCAGGCTTGGTAAATGTATTAGAAATCAAGTGCGACCCACAACTAGCTTGCTAATCATGTAGTGAACGTAAGAGAATCCCATAGAACCATCTCTTGGGTTCCTAGCCTATAGGAAGTGAAAAGGAGGTCCAAGGTCAGAGTACCTATAGACAAATTATGTCATAACTTAACCAATCTTGTCGGTAACTAAGGAGCGATGACGTGTAATGAATCATAGAGGGTTGTAGAAGCTTCTAGAGCTATCGTTCATGTTCCTAGGCCTCTAGTTGGTAGAGATATGCCATGTGGTAGTATTGGCCCACCCCCTTAAGGAGGAGATTTTCTTAATAACTTGTTCAATGAGTGTCCAAATGATATGCCGTAATGTATGTAGCATAAACAGATGTAGTAGAAGAGTTTGCAGCAATCGTTGAGTAGTATTGCTTCTGTTGTTGGTGTGATAAGCCAAGATATGTATGGTGACTTGTAGGTTTGAGGAGGAGATTTCTAAGTTTGCTCTTGAGTTTGATAGCAAACTGAGTGCAACGAATGTCAGTATGACACACAGGTGACCCCACAGCTACCCAGAGTCTACTCCCTAGAATGAGAGACGAGAAGGCAATCTTACACTACCCCCCTCCTAAGAGAGTGCTTTGTCTGCAAAGCATGCCATCAGGGTCCCTTCCGTAACCTCTCTGAATGGTATCCGTAAGCTGGGCGTTCCTTGGTGGTGAAAATTCCAGCGGTACGTGCATCGGGAACTCCCCCGTTTGTACAATGTGTTGGGAAAGTGCTTTGTGTGCAGAGGCGGCTTTTCTTGAAGGGTACCGTAACACCACCTCGTGGAATGCGACACTGGAGTTGGCTTTGTTCAATCTCACTTTCCATCTTGGTGGTCCGAATGGGCACTGGGAAGTATCCGCTAAGCGTTTGAGTCGAACCTTCGTAAATGTAAAAGGGGAAGTGATCGCGCTAGCACGATTCAAAATTTATTGTTGTAAGCCCAACATTTGAGTACTCCGCTTTGCCCACCTCTTCCTGTTTTTCCTTTACAACAACAACGCCAACAGTATCCACGTCGAGACTGGTAAGTGGCCCCCTCCATTCCTATAGCTGTATACTAACTGATTGTTTTTAGAATACAACAATCCACCCGAATGAGTAGGTTGTCATACTGACATTCGTTGCACTGAGTTTGCTATCAAACTCAAGAGCAAACTTGGAAATTTCCTCCTCAAACCTACAAGTCACTATACATATTTTGGCTTATCACACCAACAACAAGAGCAATACTACTCAATGATTGCTACAACCATCTATGATTCATTACACATCATCGCTCTTTAGTTACCCACAAGATTGGTTAAGTTATGACATAATTTGTCTATGACATAATTTGTCTATAGGGGTACTCTGACCTTGGACCTCCTTTTACTTCCTATAAGCTACGAACGTAAGAGATGGTTCTATGGGATTCTCTTACGTCGACTACAGTTACCAAGCCTGGTAAGTCATGGAAAGTCTTGGAAAATGAGAGAACTACACTCCTTTAGCATAAATAGGATTGCCCTTTCCTTAAGAAAGGGCAAGCAGACAATACAGTAAATCGACTATCACATACTTCCACGTCTTTTCCAAGCTTCCAAGCATTCATCTTGTTACTCCTTGTTTCTGAAAAGTCAGTGAGGTGTTAACCTCTGACTTACCCCTGAGTTCCCAGACTCAACATTTGTTGCAACTTGTCTGAACCACTTCACTACATCACACACCTGATTGCTGCGTTGTGGAATAGTCTAAGCTACAACCCTTTGGCTCTGTTTCCTAAGATAGTGTGTTGTCTTAGTAAATTCATCCCTTCCTTGGGTGGCTAGATTCTCACATCTGGTGCACCCACCATTACATAGGTGACGGGAACGCGCTCGGTGCGCAAGTGATAACGTGGGCTTGGCTGACGGGAGCATAGATCCCGAACAATTGATGATGCCGATCCCCACGCCTGCCGGAGCCCCCTCAGTCGCTTTCCGGGTCCTGTGTCTGCGCTGCCTTCGGGCCAAAGCTCGGGGCGTCCCGGCGCACGATTGCGTCTCGTCTCCCTCGAGCTCAAAGTGCGAGTACTGCACCTGTGTCCCGGCGAGTTTCCTTGTGGCGTTCTGTTCGTTGGTTGGCTGTTGCTAACCATTTGGGTGAATAGCTGCCTGGTTCCTCGATGAGGAATACCGCGCCCTCATCGTCGCGGAAACAACCATCCCTCTCGTCGCTGCAGACGTCGCGTCCGCTGCCTCGGAGGCAAATCGGGTGGCCCTTGTGGCTGCCCAAAGTATTCCCAAGTTCTGTTCCGTCGCGGAGCGCGACTCCTACAAGGAGCTCCGCACCACGCGCGCTGCCATTGAGGCGGGTATGGGCGTGAGTATACCCCTGTCCTGTGTTGTTTCGGTGCTGACACAGTTCAGCAAATCCGGTCATTGCTGCGCCGTCTTCGGACGGAGCAGGGGAGCATGCCGGCTCTTTTGGGGGAAGTGGTGGCTGCCCTGGGCAGACTTCCTGCTGTCGCTGTTGCCGCGACGGTCCCGGACCGCACTGGGGGAAGGAGGAAGAGGGGTGAGGAGGAGGGCACCATTTGTGCGGGTTATGGGGAGGGGAAGAATGGGGAGTAGGGTGGAGGGAAGCCCTGTGTCGGAGGGGACTCGGGCCTGACTCTTCGCGTGGGGTCGCTTCGATCCTTCGTCTCTCTCGGTGGTAGCCGCTTGTTGCGATGCCAGTGAGACGTTTGGGAAGGGTGGCTCCCTCAAGGGTTACGGTGGTGAGTGCGCCCTGGCTCAGAGGGTAGTTAGTTTAGGGTTGTAGGTAGCAACGACTCTGTTTTTCCTGCTTTGTTGTCCCTCCTGTGATCGTAGTTTTGTTCCTCAACCGCCTCCCATGCCGTAACCCATCCGAGTAGTTCTTGAGGTGGACCTGGTAAATTAGGGTATTCCTTGTGAAACTCTCTGAGTTTATGGGGGGAGTTCATGAAGTTCGACGCTGGGTACCACTCCGGGTCCGGATTGTATCCGACCCAACTAACCCGGTATTGTAGTTGCTTCCAGCGGAGCCTTACAGCGAGGATCTTTTCCACTTCCCATTCCTCTACGCCATCTATCACTTCGCTGTACTCTTCTGAGTCGGGGTGCATTCGTATACGATGGAAGGCTTGTCTAATATCTAGCTTCGTGAAGATTTTGGCTTTCGACACCCGTCCTAGTAGTTCGTCGATACGCGGGATGGGGTAGGGATCATTCCGGGTGAGACCATTTAACTTCCGGTAATCGATGCAAAATCT